ACAGTAATCCCATTTCTGGGAATCTACTCCGAAGGTATACTTCAAACAAAACAAATATTTAAGATCATTCGCTGTAACATTATCTGTAATTTTGCAAAACACTGAACTACTTAATGCCCAAGCATAGCAGATTGACTGGATAAACTATGTACATCCACACAGTGGAATGCTAGGCCACAAGGGGTTACGGGGAGAGGGGGTTGGGGGGGGGTCTCTATGAACTTAAATACTTAAATACAGTGACTTCTGGAGATGCTAAGTGAAAAAAGCAAAGTCCATCAGAGCGTTATGTGAAATACCTAATAAGCACATGAGAAGATGCTCAACTTTGTCATTAGGGAAATGCAAATTTAAACCACAAAATACCACTTTGTATCTCTAAGAATGTTTATATAAAAAAAAAGTCATTAACACGTAAGAGAGGATATGGAGAAATGGGAACCCTCATATATTGCTAGTGGGAATGTAAAGTGGTATAGTCACTTGGAAAACAGTATGATGGTTTCTTAAAAAAAATTAATCACACAACCCAACAATTCCACTCTTATGTATTTACCCAAAAGAAATGAAAACCCATGTCCACAGAAAGACTTGCACATCAATGATCCTGGCAGCATTATGCATCAGGGCCGAAGAGGAAGCAATTCGAATGTCCATTAACATTAAATGAGTAAAAAAACAGGAGTTCATATAATGGAATAGTATTTAGCAATAAGAATAGTGATAGAAATGCTGATACATGCAATGACATGGATGAACATAAGAACATTATACTAAGTAAAAGAAGCCAGACTCAAAGATAATATTGTATGAATCTATTTATATGAAATGTCTAGAAAAGGAAAGTCTATAGAGACAGAAATAACTAGTGGTTGCCTGGCACAGGGGAGGAGGCAGGGTGTAGTGGGAACACACATTAATCGTAACCAGGCGTGAGCAAGTTTACTGGAATGATGAAAATGTTCTAAAACTGCGTATTGGTCAGGTCAAACAATTCTTTAAAATAAGTGAATTTTGTCAAATTATACTTCAGTAAAGTTATTTTAAGGATATATATGTGAATTTTACAATATGTACAATATGCATCAAGGAGTTGTTTTTAGAAAGCAAATGGAGTGGCTGGCCCTCCCAGTTTTAGCACTCAAAGTCCTGTATACTGAGAAACTTCAGTCCTGGACAAAAGGATTGACCTCTCTATATGTATGCTACCTTTACTGTAAGAAAGGGAACGAGGAGATGAAAAAAAAAAAACAAAAACCTTTATTACTTTTCTTCATAAAAGGAAACATGGTGGGGAAACAGTGAAGTTGGGTATGTATGAAGAAATGGGGCAGAAGGGATATAAGAGAGTAACACTTCTCAGTAAACAGTAAACCTTTGGTATAGTTACAACTTTTAGAAATATGTTAGTATTCCATGTATTTTAAAAATGTAATCAACAAGGATGTGAAGTGTGTGTGTAGGGGGGACCTTAAACTTGGAAAAAAACTGAAACCAATGAATCCAATTTATTTCAAATAAATAACATAATCACAGTGAGAGAAAAAAGAATTAACCCAAGTAATTTATGAACACAGAATGTAATTATAATTATTGGGCAGAGTACAGGTAGGGAGAGAACTGCAAACAAGCTTTTAAGTGTTTTTTACAGTGACATGGGCAAAAGCAATTCTAAGAATTGTTTTAGATGTACTACAGGACTGACCAAGTGAATAAATTCACTTGTGCCAGAATTCTGAAAAAGCAGAGACAGAAATATGGAATGGGGAAGTCAAGAAAAGACCCCTGAGGATGGAATGAAATTGGAGGTATTAGTGTGAACTCATGATTTCTGAAATCAGTGTATATAAGCACGTGTAAACTGTACATGGCATGTGCATATTTATGTTTACGGATGTACATGCACATTTCCTAATTCTGTCTGAATAGGCCTAGAAGCAGATGACACCCAGCAACCAGATCTATGTGTCTAATAATATTCCCCAGGGTTTCTTAGAGAAATCGCCGATTCCTGATCCTAGAACATCTTTTATTTAAGAGAATGTGCTAAATAAATAAATAAATAAAACTAAAACGGATGCCAAAAGGACACAGTAGCCAGACTGAAGGAGCTCCTACTGAGCAAATTTAAGACAATTTAAGCACCAAAGTAATGAATTATAAGCCACTGAAAAAGCAGACAACTAAGAATCCAAAACAATAGTAAATATAAAACTGTACGCACACCTGTATAGATGAACGAATGGATAGCTGGGGCAGAAAGGGTTCCCACTGACAGCAGAATGCTGAGTGCCAAATGGTAGATGAGGACAGAACACTGGACTCAGAAAAATCAGTATTTTTCAACTAGCAAAGAATGATAAGCAAAAATCACCAAAGGCTGCTAAATCCTGGTGGAAAATTTTGACGTTATAGCATGGGCTGAAGAGTCTTCTTCAGATTGTTTATTAAATACAAGGTAGGGCGCCTGGGTGGTTCAGTGGGTTAAACCTCTGCCTTCGGCTCAGGTCATGATCTCAGAGTTCTGGGATTGAGTCCGCATCAGGCTCTTCTGCTCGGCAGGGAGCCTGCTTCCTCTTCTCTCTCTCTCTCTGTGCCTACTTGTGATCTCTCTGTCAAATAAGTAAAAAATCTTAAAAAAAAAAAAAAGCAAAAAAAAAAAACCCCACAAGGTAAAAAAAAGTAACTATATATTGGAGAAACTGAAAAACACCTTGACCAGGTGACCAAAATTACTATCACCAATGAGGAGCAGACGGACACTCTGTGCCTCCAGATGTGATGCTCTGATGACACTGCTGGGAGTATTCTGAGAATGAATAACCTGAATCTAATGCAGAAACCCCAAATGAGGAACATTCTATGGGGGGGGGGGGGGCAAAAGACTGCATTCTCCAAAAACATGTTGTATCAATGCCATAAAAGGCAAAGGGGACATGGAAATGATCCCCAGTGGAGGGGACTTAAGGGCAAATGAACAACCAAAAGATAAAAACAAAAATGGTAAGGTTTAAGCAATAGGGGAATCTGGGTAAAAGATATATTGATGTTCTTTGTATTATTCTTGCCAATTTTCAGTAAATTTTAAAACATTTCCACATAGAAAGTTAAAAAAAAAAAAAAAACAATTAGGAACTGATACCAGATTGTGAACCTCACGTTTTGCTAACAAGGTTATTAAACTACAATCATTAAAAAAAAAAAAAAAACTACCATCGGCTATTATATCATTTGGTTTTAAAAAGTGTGAAGAGGGGCATTTTAAATATCCAAAACATAGTAGTCATACCCAAAAAAAGAATGGTCCTTTAAAATGCATATATTTATATTTAAGAAAAAACATCACACTGTCATATTTTTCTCATTTCCCCGTGGACAAGGGGAGCTTTGTCAGTGTGGTGTTAAGGAATTAGAATTCTAAACAACATATGTTTTCAGCAATGGATGAAGTACAGATCAATGGAAAGAGCATGAAGGCAAGCATGTAATTCAAATCCTGGTGCGGGAAATTACCAGCTTTGTAACCTAAGTTCCCTTAGCCAGTTTCCTCACTTGCAAGGCAGATCGTTTAATCATGGGACTGTTAAGAGAATTAAATTGAATAAATGTATCTAGAATAGCACTTGACACAGAGAAGGGTGCTCAACAAATGTCTCCTCCTCTTCCTTTTCCTTCTGTTCCCTGGAGATGACTGGGGCCATATTCACCTTTTTCTCATTGATCCAAACGTGGCCCCATTAGGCTTATGTTAAGAAACAGCATTTTCCTGAGGACCTCCCTTCTGAGTAAACTTTCTGGTAAACTTCATGAAAATGGAAGCCAGAAATACTGGACAGTGAAATGGAAAGAGAGACGGCTTATAAAAAACAGATGACTTGGGGAATGGCTGGTTAACTGATGAGTTCTGTTAGAGAGGTCAAGACAATTGGAGGGAAGATAGTATTAGTATGTATTAGAAAAGTTTGCTGCTCAAAAAAGATAAAGCAGTACTTTTTCTTCATATAATCACAAGTCTATTTTGCAAACAACCATCTAATGCCAAGAATGAATAATTTATATAAAAATAAATTGTATTAAAATCACCAATTCCATTTGTTTTACCAGCTATGTATTTTTGGAAAAAAAACCAATTCAATAAAATGTCCATAAATGAGATTGGAGGAGATTGGATGAGATCTCATCCTATTGTCTATTGGGGTTTTTTTTGCTTCCTTTCATATATTTTCTGTTCATATCTAATAGGATGATTTCCTTTTATACTGCCAATGATAGTAATTCTTTAAAAATCTATTTTTAAAAATAAAGAAAAAAATTTTTTAAAAATTAAATTGCATTATAGGAAAGAAATTTATATTGCCAAACAGAAATTTAGTTTTAACACTTAAAATCTTTATAGAAGATAAACAAATCCTGATTTTCCCTTTATTTTATCATAATTGAAAAATGAAATCACTTAACATGGTCACTTGATACATATTTCCTTAAAACTTCTCTCTGGTGAAACAAAGCTCTATATACTTAAAGAGTGTGTATAACATTTATAACACCCATGACAATTTCAAACCAACTAGCATTGGTATAGCTTCAAATTACTATTAGTTGTGGCTACTTTTGGAAAAAGGGTACAAAGCTTATTAGGGCCCAGAATACCAGAAAAACTTAATTTTATACTGTCATAGAGTTCAAGAAGTGACATTATAGTGTGAAGACACTATAAACTGCCATTTCTTTCTCATAAGTCTCTTAAAACAGGCTGCAAAAATATTCAGTACCTCATATATATTAACTAACAAAAATAGTTCCATTCATTACCTTTGCCCAGAGTGATTAAGGACCAAAAAATAGAATTCTTGTTGCTTTATTATCTGATAAACTGCTAGTAAGCTCCCGTTAGAAGTTCTTTAGACATTACACCAAGTCATCTTGGTCTTCTGATCATATATATATATTCATATATATATATTCATATATATATATGTATTTTTTCAAGTAAAGAAATGTTTAACAGATGTAAACTATTTATTGAATATTTGCCACCAAATATTGTTAAATACATTATCTTGCAGCATATCGCTTTCAAGTTAAAATGTCAAACAAACACCAATATTTACAATTCTTTTAAGGAATGTTATATAATGACACATTAAGGCGTAAATTCTTTTGGCTTATAATTCTTAAAAGAATGATAATAGCAAAAGTGATGCAAAATCTTCAGTGTGAGATTATGATTAAGCTACATTTTACAAAAATATGGTGTAAGATGGCAATAATCCCATTCAACATCCTGGATTAGATCCCTTCAGGAGGGACTGATAATTTATACAGTCAAACTTTAAAATTTACAGATAAAGGCAGTCCAATACTGCCACTGAGAAGTACATCTCTTAACATATACAACTTTCAGGCCACAGTTTTGAAGGTCTGAAGTATCAAGTTGGTTTGATGAATTAGTCGGTTGGCACTTATGAACACATTTATTGCCCTGTTTAAAAAAAAAAAAAAAAGCATTAATTTTATCCAAAAAATTCATCCTTTAAAAACATTTATACTTGATGCCATCCACTAACAGTAACAATGAAATCAATTTAGAGGGAGGGGAAAAGGCAAGTTAGTACTGAGGATCATGTTTTATACCAGCTTGGAACTGAATGGTCCTGCATCACTTGAAACTATCTAGGAATTACTGCCCCCTAGTGGTTCTGGCTGGCAATAAGGTGTTGATGGGATGCTAATAATAGGTGGCGCCTCAACAACCAGATTTCCTGAGGTTGAACAAGTAACTGGCCAAACAGAGGATTTAAATGTAGTCTCTAACAGACTTCAATGTAAGTTACCAAAACAGTATCTGCTCCAGTATTATACTCAGCCTCAAAATCTCTACATCAGTGGACAACAAATACTTAAGAAAAACTTAACTACTTTTTTGTAAAAGTTACTTTACATTTGATTTACTCCAATCTCTTAACTTCTTTCAAAAACAAAAAACTATGAGAATTCTAAACTACTTTCAGAATAAATCTACTTTTAAAACAAAATAATCGTGTAATTTCAATATTTAAGAGCTAACAATATATAAAAATATATTCTTAAAAATTACTTTGTGCTACACACATTTTTCCTATCAGCCCATCTTCATGTGACTGGAATAAAGAACTGATGCCCTAGTCCCACTGTGTGGTCTAATCAGTTTCTCAGTATCATAGCTAAAACTTCTTTATTCATCCTAGACAATTCTCAGAAAAGAGGGACCAGAGAGAATTAGCTGTACCTATGCAAATTCATCCCCTTATTGGAAGAGGGCTCAAAGAATAGGCTCTATTAACAGTTATCAGTTTCAAGAAAACAGGTACAAAACTAAATCCAAAATAATGGCACATTATTCATATACAAATAATTATCAAGAAGCTAGTGAATGGAGAAAAAGTAGTAACCGGGAGCCGGAATAATCCATATGTAGAATACATAACTTCAGATTAATGAAAATTAGGCTCTGAAGGAATTTCTACTTTTCAATGTGCTTATTTCACGATAATTCTTAATTAGAATCAGAAATAATGATCCCATCATGTAAATTATTCTTTTGATGTGTTTTGGTTATTCTGGTTTAGCAGTGGAGACCAAGAAAAAAACAGATGTAAGTTTATTTTCAGAACACACCTCCAAGCTTATTAAACTAAGCCATCAAGGAGCATTTCCCCTAGGTATCAGAAGAGTAACAAAACCACTAATAAAATGTAGTTCAATGCCTTTAATTCATAATAAAAATGTAAAGATTTCAGCCTATTTGAACTGTTAAAAAAATGAAAATTAACAGAATCTTCTAATGTATTTTTATTATTTTTAAATATTATTATCACAATATTGTAATGTTTGACATGGATGTAAGAATCCTTAAACTTCAATGGTAGGATAAAATGTTAGATGTCCCTGCCAATGATACATGAAATAATCATTATTTAGGTTGTTTTTATGACTTTAAGCACTGTCAGAAAATGGTCTTGTCCACAGATTTCTAGTATTCTACCTTATTAAAAAACTCTCTATAAGGCAAAATGCTATAGAAGACATGGCCTCTCTACCAGCTTATATATTATATGTACATGTGTAAAATGTGTATGTAAAAACACATAATTTTTTTTGGTTTTCTGGAGTGTTCTATAGATAACTGTATGTAAACCTAAAAACATCCAATTTACCTTTATATATACTACTTATCTTATAGAACAACAGTGAAAGTCTCCCTCCTTCTGAAAAACGGGTCACAACCTTTGTAGTACTTTTAAATCACCTGAACACTTTCTATAAAAGACTTAAACCCTGGTCCCACTCCAAACCACCTGAATCAGACCTCTGAAGTTGGGACCAAGGCACTGGAATTTTAAAAAACTGAATCAAAGTGATTCTAATGTGCAAATGGGACTAACAACCATTGCTTTCTTTAACTTTAGTTCTCAACACACCCGGCAGTATTAGTACTAACTGGAAACTTCTTAGAAATGCAAATTCCTTGGGCACCTGGGTGGTTCAGTCGGTTGTGTACTGGACTCCTGATTTTGGCTCAGGTCATGATCTCAGGGTCATGAGATCTAGCCCCAAGTCTGGCTCCACAGGCAGTCTGCATGAGATTCTTTCCCTCTGCCCCTCCCCCAGTTTACGTGCTCTCTCTCCCTCTCTCTTAAACTGAAGAAAAAAAAAGAGAGAGAGAGAGAGAGAGAGAAAGAAACGCAAATTCTTGGGTCCACCCTAGATTTGAGAAGGAAAGAGGGGCTCCAAAAGCAATTATATGTACATGTGTAAAATGTGTATTTTATCCTGTAATAAGCCCTCCAGGTAATTCTGATGCGCCCAAAGTTTGAGAACCACAGTTTCAGGTCTGTAGGCCAGTAAGCCAAATCTCACTTCCCATGTTTCTGTACAGCCTACAGATAAGAACACTTTTACATTTTTAAATGACCCAAAAAAAAAAAAAAAGTATTTTGTAACAGGTGAAAATCAAACAAAATTCAAATTTCAGTGTCTATAAATAAAGTTTTATTAGAACACAGCCATTATGTCACTTTTTCCAAACTATGACTGCTTCTGCACCACAAGAGCAGAGGGGAAGTGGGTAGTTCTTACAAGCCCACCAAATCAAAATATTTGCCATGAGGTCTATTTCAGAACAAGTCTGCCAACTTCTGCTCTAGACAAGTTATGGCTAGATTATCAACCAACCGTCTTAGTTATTAGTTAACTTGAGTATGAACAATATACTAAAAGGGCTTAATTTATATGGTTTTAGTATTAAATAAAACCACATAATTTAATTTAAAATAAAAAAGGATGATAAATGACACTACTTACTTGCCATCTTTAAAATAGGTTTTCAGAGTATCACTGAAACTTTTGGAGTACTTTACAAATTCTTTCTTTTGGTGTTCAAGTGCCTACAGACATCAGAGTAAGAAAAAAAACACTAAATAAGAAAATAATAAAAGCCAAAATCAAAGACAAGAGGTTACACAGAATATAGGATGGGCTTTGTATTACAAATTAGAATTTTTAGAAGTATTTACTTAAACATATTTTAATTCAAAGACAAAAGCAGTGGTTAATGATACGAAACTCTTTTCAATAATCAAACCATCTTAGTATTGAATTCAATGCAACTACTAAGTGTAAATCAACATCTAGCTGACAGCTTATACAAGGCTTCTACAAAACTTACCCTGCGGTTCTGGTATTGATACTTCTTGAAGACATTATTCACCGTGTCAAGAAGTTCTTTTATTGCACTAGCTATATCCCTGTTGGATAAGGAAAAAAGAATCTTCTTAAAATCAGTTGTATTTGGAAGAGGGGTATGTATTTTATATATATATATTCCCCGCCCCCAGGATTACTAATCACACTATTAATTATCAAACTAACACAGCATCAAGCCCAAACATCTGACTAGTTGGCTGGCTGGAGTTTTAGCCTGTACCCTTTTGGGATCCTGACTTCTCTTGCACTGCTGACCAAAAGTTCTGCAACTAATTTCAACCTTCCCAAACCAGTAACATTTCATTCAGCATTACTTACTCAAATTTATAAGAATTACTTCTGCTTCTCACCTTTGCCAGATATTTTTCCTTTCTCTGATGTAGCTGACTTCAAGCTACTATATTCTCTATATTTGCTATCTCGTTAACAATTATATAAAATTTTACTATTACATGTAACTCACTTCTGTATTTATCACCACTTCCAGTTACATAGTTTTGACGTTTAAAAAGAAATATTTCCTTTTCAGACATAGCTCTTCCAAGACACATCCACCTTCTAACAAATGCTTATACCCCTCTTCAAAAAACTCTGCTGTTGTTACTTCCTTTGGAAAATATATTTAAATTCCTGAGAGAGGAAATATCAGAATATTTTTCTACCTTAACCATTTCAGCAATCATCCTTGGACTACATATGTATCAACACCTTCCTCCCCTTTTAAGCAGATAAAGAGAAGAAACCAGTAATTCTCATGAGTTGACTGTTCTCCCTATCCATTTTTTTTTTTTCTAAACTCCTCTTGTCTTTTTATCTATGCTCTTTTCAATTTTCATCTACTACCTGCACAGCAACTTTTATTGGTCAAACTGAACTTAAACTTCTGCTGCGCAAATGCAATTCAAGAGTGAAGATATGAATTATTAAGACATAAAACTAGACCATCCCAAACATCATCTTTCATTACTTTTTAATCACAAAGGTCAGATTTCAGTTATTTCATACCTGAAACATTTCAGCTTTACTAAAGAAAAAAACCAAAAGCTCTGTATCCAGATTTCTGTGTGTGTATGTGTGTGTTTCACAGTATATTTCTAGTAAATATGCATGTGGGATGTCTATGTATTACAAGTATACAGGATTTGGGTATTAAGAAATTTTTAGCCTATTCTGAAATAGTAATCACATTTGTATTAAATATTTTAATAAATAATTACTTATTACCTCCTGTATGTCAAACACTGATATCAGGCTGAACATTAAAAGATTTAAATAAGACAATGAATATTACATAGAAGTGGTATTTGTCCACTTTGTTTAGGAATAGCAGTTTTAACTTAAATAATTGTTCCTTTCATTTATGGTTTCAAGTAAGTTGGCTCCTGTATTGCTATGATTTGCATAAATTCACCATTGCTTAATAAAATGATGTCATAAGACCATGACATGAGAAAAGTAACAATTTCAACAATTAAGTATTTGGAAGGTACTTCAAATCCAAAATGAACCCATTTAAAGCAGAATATAATGGAGCAAACTACAGTGATCAGTGAGGTGTTTATATACAACTACTTTGCAGAATACTATTCTGCTTTAAAAAAGGATTATAAAAATATGCTTCAGGGCTAATAGACAAGATGAACATGTATCCATATACAATAATGGCTAGAATCCATAGGTCAAAAGAGTATGAATTCTCACTCACCTGTAAAGGGGAAAAAAAAAAAAAAAAAAAAAAAAAAAAGCAAGGGTTTTCTAAATGGTATCCCAGACTTACTATGAGTATTGGGAATCTGTCTGTCTGCACCTTAAAAAAAAAAAAAAAAAACTTAAAAAATAAGCCCTCAGGTGATTTTGCTGATGAACCAAATTTGGAAACCCGTGTTTGTGATCCTAGAGCCTAGAACTAAGGTTTGATCTATTATTGGCCATAGAGCTTTACAAAGAACTCTACAGAATGCCCCAGGCTGTTTATCCCAAGGCCTGGCCTTCTCTAAAAACAATCTGTGGCAATTTATATCAGATACTACATCATCTGTATGTACACAGAACAGTATTTTCACTTAAGGTGCTAGGGTCTGTAGCAGGGAAGCTAAATTATATTAGTAACTAAGGGTTTGTTTCCTATAAGAGAAAATAATCAGCTCTAAAAAATACTGCAGACAATTAAACAGATCAAGAATTGGAGAAAACCTGAAGGTAAAATAACTATAGGGTAATTATAAACAGTATGGAGTTAAGTGATTCTGCGATAAGGGACAGACAGTAGGGTATAGCAGGACCAAATTTTAGCAATTTCCAGCTTTTATGCTGCAACTTTGGGGAAACATACATTCAAAAGAGAAGATGACAGGCATCAGAGGAAATGTAAACATACATTTTATCAAAAAATTGCAATAGTAGACTTTCTAATCATGTAACCCAAATTTATATAACATGTATTTATGTGAACATTCTAAAGGAAGAAAAGTCCTATGCTGTGTGTTTAGTTAGGTCTAGACTGGACATCTCTATAAAAGCTTCTCTGAAGCCATCAGGAAAACGAAACTCTGGTGGATTTTAGAGCATGAATATGCAAATACATATTGTAAACAGTGATAAATGCATGGTTTTCTGGTTTATTAATTCACAAGTCTCTACTAGTCATCCATTAGAATGTATAAGACCCAAAAAACCCTATAAATTAAATTTATGTATGTCCTCTCAGTTCTTAAAAAACTGTTACTTTCATCTTTATAAGCAGAAACTAGAATAACAGAAGCTAAGCAACTTACCCAAGATCACACAGCTAAATGTGGGAATGGAAATTCAAACCTAGGTCTGCTAACATACACAAAAATACCTAGATATTTGTTACCTGACAGGAATCTTTTTTCTCCTTAATATAATCTATGAAATCACATACAGTACTTGGGATAATAAGTATTTGATACATGTTTCTTGAAAAATACTGCTATAAAGTAAATGAAGAAGATAACTATATCTATATATTTATATATGAAAAATATATATATTTATATATGAAAAAGTAAAATATTTTAAGTTTTTGTTTGTTTGTTTGTTTGTTTTTTTGACAAAGATCACAAGTAGGCAGAGAGGCAGGCAGAGAGAGGGGGAGAGGCCCTACTGAGCAGAGAACCCGATGAGGGGCTCGATCGCAGGAACCTGGGATCATAACCTGAGCTGAAGGCAGAGGCTTTAACCCCACTGAGCAGAGAGCCCGATGCAGGGCTCAATCCCAGGAACCTGGGATCATAACCTGAGCTGAAGGCAGAGGCTTTAACCCCACTGAGCCACATAGGCACCCTGAAAAAGTAAAATATTTTAAAGAAAAAACAGTAACTACACAGTATATTGTGCCTGAAGGATAAGTCATTTTTTATTTTGGTGCAATTTTATCTACTAATTTGTTAAACAATTAACCATGGGGACAAGATGTAGCAAAATATATCAGTATATATCAGTGATACAAATAATTACACCTTACCTATCTATGTTAATTTACACATGGTCTCATAAATATATATTATCAACAAACTTTCCAGGGCCAATTATACCTCCTAAAATGATTAAGAAATAAATTTTAACTGCCAATACTCTCAACTCAGTTGTGCAGCGTGCACTCCAGAAAACAGAACTGAAATATTACTACTGCCCCATAAATGAGAGATAAGCCCCTAATTTGGCCTCTGTCAATGACTATGGACAAGACTCTTGGCCTCCTGACCTCAACTTCCTTATGATTAAAATGTGGCTGTTTATACAGTGTTTTTCAAATGTATCTCTCTAAAGCCACAATGGGTTTAACAGAGATGCCCTGGGGACTCCCCCAGAGGGGTAGGATGGTTAAAGGAGCAGGATGAGGGCTTTGGGCCTACCATATCTAGCCTAGCTTCAACCATAGCACTCTTCTCTCTCTCACCTACTGGCATTCTATATTAAGATATCCTTTATCACACATCTTCCAGATAGCTGAAACTTTCTTTAATCGCTAAGTCAGACCAGCATTATTCATCTCAGAGTGGGAAGCAGCAGAGAAGACCACGGAGTGAGTCTGCCTGGGTATGAACCCAGATCTACCAACTTACCAGCTCTGTGACCTTGGAAAAGTTACTTAATTTCTTCACCAGTTATAGCAGTGTTATATAATCCATTAATATACGTAAAATGTATAAAAAAGCAATGAGAACGTAATTCTAATAAGTGACTGCTATTAAGATGGCATTGATTCAATAAACCTTTCCTTCATGACCTGAGGCAAAATTTGCTGAAAATATTATTTTTTAAATGTCAGATCTTCATAGAAATGTAGCATAGATCATAAACAAATATATGATCATCAAAACAAAATCTTATTATTTGAAAATTCTAAAAATAAGTTGTTTAAACAACTATGCTTCAGATAACTGGCAATTTATCCTTTTATGAGCTAAACATGTTTACTTTATATCAGACTAAAAATAAAAATCCATAAACAGTTGACTATCTTCCTTTTTCCAATATTAAAAATAGTTAAAGGAAGTTGAGGCTTTCCTATAAGGGTAAAATATTTACCTCAGGATTTGTTCTCTATGACATGAATTTTAGCTAGGCAATGAAAAAAGTCTTTTTCGTACTTTCAGGTTCTCAATCAGAAGACCTAAAAGAGGAGGGTTGCTCCTTAATAGCTGGGTTGCATACCCATCACAAACTATTGCTTCCTAAAGTGAGATTGTCTGCCCCCTATACCACTCAAAACAGGTGCCCAAACTAGCTAAAATAGCATTTTGCAACGTGAATTACGAAAAATACTGTTTCTAGGAGATGGATGTTAATATTTACTATAAGTGAACTTCTTTCCATTCTTTAAAGATACGAAGTATGATGATGCAGCCTCTTTCAAAAACAACAACAAAACCTGTGCTAAATCTTTCAATTTCTACTTGTGCAAAAGGCTGTACTGCTAGTGCCACTCAATTATTCACAATTTTCTTCATATTATACCCAGTGAGGCTGAAGAAAATTGAGACACTTTACTCATCCAGAAATTATGTATGGATTTTCCCCCTCAGTCTCCCACCCTCTTTAACCTGAGGAGACTGCCCCTGATTTGAGAACCACCGCTTAAGGAAGACCCTTCTTGCGGCTCCTCACCAGTCAGCCTCCTAGCCCCATGCGTATTTTCAGTCTTATTTAACCTGTATCTCAAAGGTTTAGGATTTGGAGATTTACAATTTGGCTAATATTTAAAAATGCTATTCAAGCCTAAGAGTACATTACTTATTCTAATGACTTCTGCCATTTCTGAAACAAAAACAGTACTGGTATCCTGTTACCAATACTATAATTTTTTTGCATTATTTTTTAGTTCAAACTATATTCCAATTTTTATACATTTCATTCACTGTTTTTATATTAACATTCTAAGAAATGTTATCATACTCTAAAGCCAAATACCACAGCTTAGAAGTTAGTATCAACATGCAGCACTTAAAAATTTCAAGTCTGATTTCAAATTAATATTTTAATTTAATATTAATGTCATACCAAAATAAAACACCTCGCATGAGCGGTTCCTTTGAAGTACTTTCAAGAAAAGAAGAACCAAAGCCAAAAGTTGCTTACTTGATTGTCTGCAGAAACCTCACTCTGTCATTGATCTCATCTGGGATCTTACTGAGAATCTGTTTAAGTGCTCGTGCCTTTTCATTTAGGTCCTGGAATTCTGGCTCTGGTCGTTCAATCATATACTCTGATAAAATAAATACAAAATAAAAACCATCATGCAACTCCCTGCCAAATTCAAGTCTACAAATTCCCAATGCTGGTTAAAGAGGTGGAGGGAGAAAAGAAAGGGAAAGGAAAGGAAAGACAAGGCTGCAAGGCAGAATTCATTAAAGTTCGACTTAGCTCAGAAAAAGTATTATGGCTCTCCCCAAGTAAAAGTATCAGAAGATGAAAGACTAAACATTTCCAATTTGGAATAAATGGAAATTCCATGAAATCTTAAAACAAACAAATAAATAAAAGATAGACTAAATCAAATTTATCAGGCCTCTGAAGCTGTATTTCACAAGGAAACCTTGAAGTAATAACATTCATAACAAATATAATGACAATATGTATTGTATATATGTATCAAGGGGGAAGAGTTTAATAAAAACCTCTATACTGAATATGTAATGGGCTCATGATATCAAAACCCAACCTACTAATATCTTCTGCACATTCTTGAAATCTCACTTGAAAACAAAAATAACTTATACAGCTCTTTCCTCCATTATCATCACAATAATAACAGTAACAGTAAGAAAGGGGAGGAGAGGGGAAGGGCAGAAGACCCATTTGTCCAATAAATACTTGGAGGAAGTGCTTTTCAACAGCCGTAAGAAAATTGTAGGAGACTGACTACCTTCTACATCATCAGCTGCCATTCGAAGAAGGGACTCTGTGAAGTTAACTTCTACACTTTTTTTCTCTAAAATTTTCATAATGATGTCTTGTGTGAGTCCTGGATTTTCTTTTTCAGCCTATAAAGAAGAGAAAGCTAGTTTTAAAATACAGAAGCTCAATCAGCATTTTAAAGCCAAAACATAATTGTTTAGAACCTGCTGGGAACTTCTTAGAGTAATCAACTTATGACAGCAGAAATCTTGGTAAAGTAGGTGCAGCAACGGCATTCACTTATGTTTTGTCAAGAACTTATACATCGGTGACTTATTACAGCCATGGTCCCATTTGCCATTTGAACATAAAGTACTTAACATTTCCTATTTCTCCTCTACTCTCACTTGCAATCAAACTAGTAACAAAAATAGAAATAAAGATTATACACATTTTGGTAATCTATCAATTACTCTGTTCAGTAGTTTAAATACACTAAGGATGGGACGCCTGGGTGGCTCAGTTGGTTAAGCAGCTGCCTTCGGCTCAGGTCATGATCCCGGCGTCCTGGGATCGAGTCCCACATCGGGCTCCTTGCTCATCAGGGAGCCTGCTTCTCCCTCTGCCTCTGCCTGCCATTCTGTCTGCCTGTGCTTGCTCTCTCTCCCTCTCTCTCTCTGACAAATAAATAAAAAAAAAAAAAAAAAATCTTAAAAATAAAAAAATAAAAAAATAAATACACTAAGGATTTTCAGCTTTTTTTCATTAGCTAATATTTCAACTAGAGGATCAAGCAATAACTCATCTTACCAATACTTTGCAGATTCTTTGAACTTAAATGAACAGAATGTCAGGAAAAACAAAAATGAAAACAGAAACACAGGATTTCTTTTGCAGGTTTTATTTAAGCTATATCATCCTTCACTTTCCCACATAACAACTTTCATTTCCTATTATATTTCTGGAGCAAGAATATCTCCTTTTATAGCAAGAATAATTTACAGAACATCATTTAATCTTTTTGCTACCTCCTGAGCTTATTTCACAGATGAGTTTGCATTAGTTCTGTTATTTACTCTCACTAGGGCACTAAAATCTTCTAGCCATCTCAAGACTGAACACAGAAAGTTCTGAGTTTACCAAAGTTAATTTTCAGATTTGGGTTTTCCCCAGTAATTCTGTCCCATTTTATTATTTTAAAAAATGTTGTTTCTTTTAGGATGCCTGAAAATTTTAATTATGCTGATGATTTCCTATATATATATATTTTTAAAGATTTTATTTATTTATTTGACAGAGAGAGATCACAAGTAGACGGAGAGGCAGGCAGAGAGAGAGAGAGAGAGAGAGGGAAGCAGGCTCCCTGCTGAGCAGAGAGCCCGATGCGGGACTCGATCCCAGGACCCTGAGATCATGATCCTGAGCCGAAGGCAGCGGCTTAACCCACTGAGCCACCCAGGCACCCAGATTTCCTATATTTTTTACCCAATATTAAATAGCAAATAGAAACATAATTTATGATCCTAGTCAGACAGCAATCTATTTGTTTCCATATGTGTCAAGCACATTTAACGTCTGCCTTTTCAATTCCATTTTGGTATCATGGCAGATCCAGTTTTCTTCTGCTCCTACTGCTCTTTCCATTATAACATCTTGTTTCTTATTAGGGTTCAGGTATCAAAAACTGAAAGGTTCTGGAATGGAATGGGAAAAGAAAATATTCACATTTATCTCAATCCTGGGATCATTTTAACTGCTGTCATATGCTATTCAAGGAAATCATTTTGATAGATGATTAATAACAATAAAGTGTATCCTACTGAATTCCATGTCCTTTATAACCTGTTTTGATTTCTCCTTCCATGAATATACTTAAGATACAATCTATTTTTTAAAAACAAGAGTTACCTTAAAGGAAAAGTTGTACAAATATGGGTTAAGATGGTGTCAGCATTATTAATTTGGTGACCGGCCACAAAACTATATACAGTATTTAGATAAGCCAGTATTTGATAAAGTGGTCTATCGTCTTTCTCTAAGTAGCATTAAATTAGCTATATAATGCATCATCTTATGAGGTAGGGGAGTACCCTCCATGTGCTTACAAAATATACCAGGAGAAAAATAATCTCTCTGATTAAGTTATAATAAACTGCTAACATCATTAAATGCTAAGCCTGAGATAAAGTTTTCAACACCAAGTTGGTGTGGAGCCCCAAACTGCCAAAATTGGAGCATTACAGAACTCTTACACGGAGGTCTCTCACACAAGTGTTTTTCATGCAAAGAAAACAGTGGCTGGCTGTGTATTAAATAGTTAGGTTCAAATAACTTAGTAGTAAGTACTTGTGTCATAACAACTGTCCTCAAAAAATACACAAATTTGGGGCGCCTGGGTGGCTCAGTGGGTTAAAGCCTCTGCCTTCGGCTCAGGTCATGGTCCCAGGGTCCTGGGATCGAGCCCCGAATCAGGCTCTCTGCTCAGCGGGGAACCTGCTTCCCTCTCTCTCTGCTTGCCTCTCTGCCTACTTGTGATCTCTCTCGGTCAAATAAATAAATAAAATCTTTAAAAAAAATACACAAATTAAAAGAAAAACATTTTATTTCTTTCTTAAATAACCATAATTACTTATTAATGAGATGCATTCACTTGTTGGGCCCTACGCAATTTCTCAAATGTTGGTATTAAACTGGATCCTGCCAGCCTCATTTCCTATTGGACACAGATCTTCTTGTGGTACTTACTTTTTATCATAGCAATGGCTAAAATTCCAATTTCATAAAAATATGACATCACTGAAAGGAATGTAGCCCAATCTAATATGCTGAAATTGCAAACTACCTCAAGCTAGCATAGTTCACAGTGTCAGACGTTTAATATCGTTGTGTTCCTTTAAAGTTTTAAAATAACTCATGGTACTCTTCTGAGTTTGCTGAGGGCCCCAGGGTGCCTCAGCACCTAGCCTGGGAACAACTGTCTTAGTATCTTCTGGCTGAAATCCTAATTAAGCTACTTACTTTTCATTTTAAAAGCCTTAAATTTACCCAATTCCTCTGACTGACAAAATAAATAGATCTGTGCTTAAATTGATGACTTTTAACTATCTATACCTTCAGGTTTTCTCCCAGAAAACAACCTTGAATTCTGTGGGGACCCAATTTTTATGAAGAATCCAACTGTGAGAGAAAACTATCCCCCAGTGGCAGTAACATCCAAGCTCATGATTCAATGATCCTCAACAGCACAACCTATCAGAACTTTCCAGATGGGAAAAGAAAGTGAATAGATATCTTAAAAGATAATATTCATTAATATTTTATCTTGGGGAAAATAATTTTAATCCTTTTTCTCATGATAATAAAAATAAATATTAAATTACCTTGATAAATGACACTTGTGGTCAAAGAACTACAAATATGGACATATATTTTAGGAATATTAGTAGGGATATATGGGTGGGCGAGGCATTTATTTTATTTATCTTTTGAGAGAAAGAGAAAGTACAAGGTGGAGGGGGTGGGGGGTGGGAGGGTGGTGGAAGCACAGGAAAGATAAGCAGACTCTCTGCTGAGCAGCGAGCCTGATGTGGACCTAATCCCAAGAAGCTGAGATCATGACCTAAGCTAAAGGCAGATGCTTAACTGAGCCATCCAGGCGCCCTTTGGTGAGGGTTTTAAAATCTTTTTGCAAATAAGTTGGTAGTTTTAGGAACACAAAAATCATCTTTTTAATGCATACCCTTTTAATTCCATTTGAAATTTAACAAATTAAATATAATAAAAATAAATCAATGCAAAATTGACTAATTTGTTTTCCTCTCAAAATAACTTCCACTTTCCCCAATTATCAATCAATGCCATGGGTAATAAAATTTATCCATATGTTAGATCTATCACAGCCACATACTTTAAATATATTGTTTGCTTTTAAATTGTACTTTATTGTTAAAACATCAGATGTAAGCATTATAAGAAAAAGCTTAATGAAATTCATTATTTTCTCTCTTTTAGAAATGACATTGAGGATATCATCTACTACTTCAGACAGTCCTCCTTATGATGATCCACAGAAGTAATCTCTCTGTTCTTGCTATCAAAAAAGCTAAAAACTGACTTTTCCATATCAATACTGTATTGTGCAATAGGTTGCCTGCGTTCCTTTCTCTGGCCACAAAGAAAATACTCAGCAAATTAACATAAAATAGTTTTCAATATGCTTCCCTAATAACCAAATATGCCATTCCAGAGCCACACTGAAGCTCAAAGAAAAAAGAAAAAAAACTGATGGTGTTAATTCATTCATTCTCTTCATTAACCCAATGATTTGTCAGAACATATTTTAATAAAGCTACTATGTATGTATACACAGGAACTGCATTTTAGAGTATTAATCACACCAAAATAACTCTAATATAATATATATAATGTAAATTCTCGTGGTAAAGTAAGACAGATGTCTAGTGACATTATCAGTACTAGCAGTTAAAAGTGGTATTAATAAACTATCTGTGTCATAAAAAGAACTCAAACTTGATTGATTTATAGTTTTAATCCAATGAAACTTGATTATAAATTTATTCTAGATTTAAACATTAAAATACCTGAAATATAAGTTATTTTAGCTATTGACAGGAACATAAACACAGTAAGTAAATAAAAATTGAAGTTTTAGGCACCATGATATGTACTGGGAAAGGAAAGGGAATGGATAAAGTTTTATATGAAAGAATGCACCCAGTATGTATAATAGGGCTGTCCAATAGAAATATAACCCAAGCAACAAATTTCATTGTTAATTTTAAATTTTCTAGTGGCCATGTTACAAAAGTAAAAATAAATACATGAAATCATTTTAAGAGTACATCCAAAATATTATCATTTCAACATGCAATTAATATAAAATACTTATTCCTGAGTTATTTTACATTCTTTATCTTATACTAAGTATTCAAAATCTGGTGTGTATTTTATACTTGGGAGTACAACTCAATTTGAACTAGCCATATTTTAAGTACTCAACTGCAACATGTGGCTAGTATTTATCAAACAGTTCAGGTCTAAAGATAACAAAAAGTTCACTCTGAATGACTTGGTTGGATGTTTGCAAGGTATCCTTAATCTGACTCCCACACAGGTCTTGTTTTCCTATCAAAAATACTGTTTTATTCTTATGTTCTATAATTAAGCAATATGAAAAACATCTTTTTGAGTTATAATTTTACAAAAATTTTTATCAAGTCAAATAACAGAAAAAGAAATTCAAAAATATACTCTAAAGCTAAAGAGAAAAAACTCGAAAGAAGTCAGTTTTCAAAGCACAAAGTGACAAAAAGATGAATGCTAAGGAAACAGCATTTGTTTTAATTCACTTCTGAGAAGTGTTTTAAGCTTTACAGGGTACACTAAAACAGACATAAAACAGCTGAAAGAGATTTTCACTAAAAGGAAAAAAAGTGGCAATTCTTATATGATATTCGGATTTATATACAACATACATTTTAATCATAATAAATTATTTGCACCTCACCTTAATGAAAGCTGCTCTCAGTGTCTGAGCTGCTGACAGGTTTACTCGTTCTAGCTGCAATATAAATTTTAAATCACTATTAGTACCAATTTCCTTAGAAAAGGTGCATTTTTGATATTCCATTCTATAGTAATAACTCTGATACATCCATCATTTGATCAACAAAAATACTTGCTAATTATTCTAAATCACCTTAATTCTTCAAATACAAAGGTCATCTAAAACTTTCATTAGAAACCATGAGAAATTGAGGGATGTATGAATTCTTCATTCTTTTTAAAAACAAGACACACTCTACCTTAAAATTGTATTTAAGATGAGCACAGAATGCAAAATAATATCAAGTTCTTATAAAAAGAATAAACATATTTACTTCAATTACTGAAAATAGGGTTCAAGACCAACTCTCAATGCTCTGTTGCCAGTATATGGCAAATTGGGTGAATAGAAATGACCAACACCAAGAAAACATTTATTATTTAAGATTCTTTGTATTTATTACCTTACTCTTTTTTAATTATTTTACAATCCCTCAGCCAGGGATTAAGTTGAGGTTAGTCTATTTTTTTAATTAGCAAACAGCACTGACACAAGGTTTGACAGTAATAAAGACTGTAGATCATCTGTCCTCTATGTTATCTGGATTTAAGAAAGGTTACCTAAAATACTGAATCAAAAGTTCAATCCCAAAGCTTTTAGTTTTAATATAAAATATGTGAGGTTTACAATTCTGAAAGATACATGTCCTGGGGTCGCCTGGGTGGTTCAGTGGGTTAAAGCCTCTGCCTTCGGCTCAGGTCATGATCCCAGGGTCCTGGGATCGAGCCCCACATTGGCTCCCTGCTCAACAGAGAGCCTGCTTCTCCCTCTACCTCTGCCTCTGCCTGATGCTCTGCCTACTTGTGCTCTCTATCTAATAAATAAATAAAATCTTTAAAAAAAAAAGATACATGTCCTTATTATACACTTTACAGAATTCATTTTTCAGAGAACCAAAAAAAAAAAAAAATCCATTTGTTGAAAAGTTAAATGTTAGGCTTAAAATAACTACCTTCAGTTAAATTCCAATTTTTTTAGTCCCTAAAAATTGGGCCAATTAACTCAGTAAAACTCAATGCATGTATTTTTTATTGGGGACAATATTAAAATGTTCAAAAACAATGTTAACTTTTGTACGATTTTTATGCAAGTGGAGTCTTTTCACAAAAATCTTATGAACATATCATACCTTGCAATAAATATTCCTTTCAACCCCTTGAGGCAATAAATGTAAGTTTTCCTTTACAAACAACATACATACACATATATATCTAAGGAATGGCCTACACCTTATTAAATCACTTTATTTTCTAAACAAGACAGAAATGTCAAGAACCTTATCTCCCTACAAGTTATGCACCTTAAGCAAAAAAGCAACAAAATGTGCCAAGATAAATACTTTATCTCCAAAAATAAATAATAGGCCATTTAACTCAGTTTTAAACTTGGCTTCTATAAATCCAGTAAAATCTAACACTGCCTTAGTAGATAAAAGGGAAGATAGAGGAGGACCAGGTAGGAAAATATAGCAAAAAAAAAAAAAAAAAAACAACAAAACAAAACAAACAAACAAAAAAAACCCCAACAACAACAAAACCCCTGTGAAAATAAGCTGCCACAAATGAAAAACTTTCATCTTCTATGGAATTCATTTAATTGTAATGAATCCTATTTAAGATTAAAATAGTAATACAGCTCTTCTGATCTCAAGTTCTTGTTGTGTAAGGGAGGGAGAGGCAGACAGACAGGATGAATGTTTCCACTCTGATAGGAACCATTTCCTTATTTGGGTTTACAGCACACTCTGACCTCTTTCAACAAGTCAAAGGTCTGAGTTACACGTGTACCTCCAAATATCAGCATTACTAACTCATTCTGTACTGCCCTGGCTGGTATGTCAAAGGGTCAAGGGAAGTAAAAAGAGGCCAAGAATAGTCCGTGAAGAACTAATAAAATTAGCCAAGACAGACATTGGATTTCTAGATTAAGTTTACATATGTGTGTCTTAGAAAAGAAAGGGAAAGGCCAGACATATACTAAATCAAATCCGTGAGCTGTGAAGCACCTCAACCAGAACTCTGCTGGGAGTCATTCTGGGATACATTATATATCCACACATCCTGCAGTAAATCCACTAGGCTTCATTATGCATATGATACTCCCATTGCCCAGGGAGCACCAGGCATACAGGCACCTATCTACTTTTTGAATTGAACTTAATCTCTCATCCATAAATTTATCTAAATTATTCTTAAATCTATTTATAATTTGCAGCCTGTAATACTTAGCACAATATGTTTTTATCTTCCCTAATAAAAAGTGCTTCCCTGTTAGATCTTTAACTAGTGATGATTTGATGATAAAATCACATCCACCTTACCGTTCATGACAGTGTAAGGTTCTGGCAGTATCTTAACAATTATCATTTACTTAGCAGCAGTAATGAACTTTGTTATATATTTTCACAGAGATCATCTCATCCTCACAATCTATAACTAGTTATCATCATCTCTATTTTATAGAGGCAGATATTCAGTTTGTATAAATTTACCTAGTATTCAACAGCTAGTGCGTACAGAGGCAGGATTCATAAGAAATCTGTAGGGCTCTAAAACTTGTGCACATGCCACTTAATGCTACCCTGCCTCCCCGAATTCACCCTTTCCAGACTGGCATCAACTCCCTCACTGAATCTCTTCAACTACTTAAGAACTAACAAATTCCTGAGTTTCTACCATGTGCAAGTCAGTGTGAGAGATACAAAGAAATGGATTACAATCCTGGAATCCCAGAAGATGACTTTAAGTAAGCAGCTACATGGAAACTGATGGGATCACTGTCAGCTGAAGTAGAAAAAAAAAAGTCTTTAGGAGGTGAGATCTGAACTGGTCCCTGAAGAACACAGCCTCTTAACATCACCTTCCTGGGCCATTTGCCCACTTACGGGTTTCTTCAGGGTTGGTTAACACATGCACGAGTAAAGTTTTTATGTGAGTTTAGAACAGAAAAGAATTTCCATTTTGTTTCTAATACTTCCACTAATTAGTCCAGTAATTTTTTTTTAAAGATTTTATTTGTTTACTTGACACAGAGAGATACCACAAGTAGGCAGAGAGGCAAGCAAAGAGAGAGGGAGAAGCAGGCTCCCCGCTGAGCAGAGAGCCCAATGCGGGGCTAGATCCCAGGACCCTGAGATCATGACCTGAGCCAAAGACAGAGGCTCAACTCACTGAGCCATCCAGGCACCCCAATACAGTCATTTTTTTAAGCTTTTGAGGTAACAGCTGTTGCTTAGGGTATCTTTAAAGAGCCAATGCAATCATTTCTTAGTAGTATTTGATTGTGAATTCAAAAGAGGAGGAAGAAACATACAATTACACCTTGCATTAATGGGTATCTGGACAAAAAGAGGCCTTCCTCGGGCCTCAGCCGTCTATGAATTCCATGGCACCAGTAAAAGGGTAAAGGGAAAAAAGAGAATAAGCACAAGAGAACAGGGCACCTAATCTCATTTCACCAAAAAAGTAAGGAAAGTGCCTCCTGGAGTCCCAGCTAGAAGAAAGATAGGCTGAATGAACTTAACAGCAGGGCTCTCACCCCCCCACAACACATTCTTCCTATTCTGTTCTGTGAGCTCCTCCTGTAATGTATACTGGATAGCTTCTGACAGCACTATTAACTGTAAACTTGGTCAAATCTAACTTTCCATAATATTTATAAAAATATTTCAAAAGCTTACACAAAATTTTGATTCCAATCAGAGTGCATTTATTGCATTGGTCCCTCCAAAGGTACCGGTTCATCACTACTTTATTTTCTAGTTATCAAGCCCAACTCCTACATCCATAACTGAAAAAAAAAAATCCATTTAACTCCTTGGTTACTTAAGTTTTGTAGGTCTCGCATAAAATCTTTTGAAAGTATTCCTTCCTTAAGTTCAAAATAATGAGGTTAGTTAGTTCTGAATTATCTATAAATTTTGCTTTCTCAAAATCAGTAATGATTTCTCCATGCTGACAACCTTCTCCCCTCCCCACAAAAACTATTGAGTCTATTCTTTAAAAGGAATCAAACAGGGCCAAGACACAAGAAAACAGGGCACCTCGGTGGCTCAGTTGGTTAAGCATTCAACTTGATTTCAGCTCAGGTCATGATCTCAGCGTCCCGGGATGGAGCCCCTAGCAGAGCTGGGCATGGGAGTCTGCTTGTCCCCCTCTCTCTGCCCTTCCTCCTGCACATGTGTGCACGCTCTTTTTCTCTCTCTCTTAAATAAATAGACAAATCTTAAAAAAAGAAAAAAAAAAAGACACAAGAATAAAAGGTACATCTCTTATAACTCAAATGAAAATGAGTAAGTCAGATTAAAAAAAAAAAGCTAGAAGGTAAGTAGATAGACTCAAGAGGCCACCTATTAACTTTTGTGCTGCCACAGAGAAGACAAATGCAGTAATGTGTTTTAAACATATTAAATGCAGTAACTGTTTCTAAAATAATCTATTTCTGGGGTTGCCAAGTTGTCCAGCAAAAAAGGTAAGGAGAGCCACCTATTATAAAAATGTTTCATTAAAAATTGCCTACTAGAATGTGAAAGTCTAGGGAATGATCACAATTGATCAGAAAATTGCCCAAAGACTTCCTGGTACTAGTCTCAGTACTACAATATGTTAAGTCTTTTACTTTACAGAGTTATGAGAAATAAATATATTACTGTTTATCATCAGTTTATAAACAAGGAAAGAAATATAAGACTACATAGCCTAGAGTAAGGGGCAGAGCAGTAATTCTTATGCAAGATATTAACTATGATCACCTTTGGATGATAGGACTGCAGGTAAAACCCATGCCTTCACTATGGAGAGGTATGTTTACTATGCTTCAATTTGGGGGTTTGATTTTTTTCTTTTAATTAAAAAAAGGATAGTAAGGTATATGAAGTTGGAGAAATATTCCCAGATTTCATTTGCTTGTTGGAAAAAATTAAGAGTTGTATATTCTGCTGAGTTGGCAGAAATAACTGTTGGATGCTTCTGAATAGAGTAGTAATTACTTACTCAGAAGTACCATTTTTGTATCATTTATAAACAAGCCTATAAACCTTGGCGATCTAAAATTTATATTTGGTTGCAAGATTTTTTATTCCTATCTCAAAACACAATACAGATTTTTTCAGAAATTATACTTCACCTTAAAATAATTCCTCTAAAAAGTCACAGGAAATGATGATTCATGGTGTATCTTTTCCTGGAATGAAGAACTGAACTATACCTCTCTTCTCCTCCATACGCAAAGAATCAGTAGAAAGTTATACAGTACATGAGAACCTGATTTAAGACTTGTCACAAGACTTCTATAAACTCATTATTCCATAAGGTAACCAGGAGACCTATTTGACAGTACATTTACAACACACGCAATATACTTGGACTCTGAACTCTGCAGCAGCTGATTAAATAAGACTACCTCTTTCTCAGCTGTCTTGGCACAGCTTCATTAAGTTTAGCAAGCATCAAACTCCCAAAATGCCATAAATAACTTCCCTTTGTGAGCTGGAGTAACAGTACTAAAATTTCCCAGATGTAAGGATGCTATCTAAGGATACTACCTAAAAATCTGTTCTACAAGTTGACTTCAGACCACCATTGTTACTATTACGGATGTTATGTTAGGGTGAGAATGTATAAGTTTTTTAACTCTTCCAATACACTGTGGACAAAATTAAGTATATCATTTAGCTCCAGAGTTAAACATTCATCCTTACTCTGATACTATTTTCTCTAAGATTAATTTCATAACCATTTTATCTTTAAATCCGTATAGCACAAAAAACAGAGTCAAACTAAATTCTAATTTCCCCATTAGTAGATCTATAGAAAAATCTATGTTTGAACTACGGTTAAATATTAATGTTTAACTGACTAGGTCTCTTATTTATTTTTTTAAAAGATTTTATTTATTTATTTGACACACAGAGACACTGAAAGAGGGAACACAAGCAGGAGGAGTAGGAGAGGGAGAAGCAGAACAGGCATCCCAAAGCAGGGCCAGATCTCAGGACCCTGGGATCATGACTTGAGCTGAAGGCAGATGCTTAACAACTGAGCCACCCAGGCAGCCCTAGGTATTTTATTTTAGATGTTACATTAATACACTGGAATGTCAGACAATAATGCTAGTATTTTATTCTTTTCAACCAAACACTTCACATTTGAAGGCATAATTATTTTATTCCATTCCTAAACCAAGCCCCAGATTTGATATCTCTATCAAAGAGGAGACCTACTATCACAATTCCTAAAAGCCTATTATCTCTGAACACTTGTTTTTAAGTAACATGACAGAAATAATTTTTATAAAAAGTTTGATACCATAATGTTAGATCATAAATTCCAGAACTAGACCTGACAATCTGACACAGTATCTCTCAGTCTGCTACATCTAGCCATTTCATTTTCCAATTCAGTTTTAACAATTAATTCTTGAACCAACTATGAAACATTTGGGAACACGTTCTAATTCTGGGCCACTAACCCACATATTTTTTTAGATGTCATCTGGTGAGAATCATTGCCTTTATTTCTAGAAAAGATTTACCAGTCCATTCATAGCCATTTCCTTTTCTTTCAAATTAATTTTTCTTACACATGAATAAATTAGATAGCTCCAGTATTAATTCCAATAGTTCATTTTATCAGAATCTCATATTCTATATGACTATTTTCTAAAGTCAAGATTCGAATAAAATCCATTTTCCTTATGTACGCAAAGATCACTCTAGTTACCAAAAAAAACTTCTCACTCCTCTTCACTAACTAGAGGATCAAACAGAAGCTCTGCAATGTAAACCGCCCTTCCTTCAGGTAGTGACTCAAAATACTAGATAAATACAGAAATGCCCTAAACAACTTAGCCCAATAGCCCACAGGGGTAGCTACCTATAGAGACCCAAGAAGAGGGAGCACCTCTGGGTAGAACTGCCATAATGGTTCTGGAAGTACCTGAGAAGTTAAAACACTAACCATCAATATATATTACTTAACAGTTTCAGTGACGATCTTCTTACCTCATCCTTGGTATAAGGATAATTAAATAATGCATCTGCTTAAACACCTGTGTAAGATGTTTAAGAAAATAGTTCTCTATGGTTAAGAAGAGATATAACGCCTTTTTCTTTTTCACATGTCCAGACCCTAGCAGACTACTCAGCAAATAAATGACATTTAGTAAGTACTTACTAAGCAAAACTGAAGCACTTGTTTCTAACAATAATTATAGCTTTGTAATGAATGGGTACATATTGGAACAAAGTGCGGGAATTAATTACTGGAGTGTTGGCTATACCTACCAGAGATGGGTAGTAACAGCCCTGAAAGAGTGCCTCCAATGCTACCATAGAATTAGTATAACAGGGACAGGTTTTTCAAAAGATGCCTCCTATTGCTTCCTCTTTAGTGAAAAAACTTCTAAATTTCCCAACCTCCTTTGCAGCTAAGTGTGGTCTTATGACTAGGTTCTTGCCAATGAGATGTAAATGGAAGCCTTGTACAGCACTTTCAAAAAGGTTACTTGAAGGAAGGTGAATTGGCTGGAAGAACACCCACCTCCTATTCCATTTTTTTGTGTGTGTGCCTTCCAGACAACAACTTAGGACATGATGAATGGAAATTCAGCAGCTATCCCACATGCTGAGGTAACCCTGATAACGGAAAGTAAGCACTAGGATACCGAGCCATAATAACACTAGCACTGGACCACTTATAGCCACAATTTTTATGCAAGAGAAATAACTTTTATATAAGCCAGTTTCTGAGTTTTCTTTTATGCTCTCTGAATCTAATAAGACTATTTGATAAACAGCATTTAGAATTTCAAAATATATGTCTGAAATGGCAACTAGGTCCATGATTTCCAAGTTGAAGAGGATGAATCACTCCTCACTGTCCCCAAGACCTAAGACCACAAAAGCATCAAATACATTATTATTAAACCTACTGTGGGATAAAGGGCTTTGAAATCCAGAATCTTATTCTGATATAAATACTTTACAAAAAGGAATAAAGTCACTGGAAATGACGAGGGTTTCCAAGCTACAGCAGCAACAATAAGGTCAATGGCATGGATAGCTTTATAACTGAATAGCAAAACAAAAACAAGAAGACCCTAATTAAATGTACAGAAAGGTTAGGGGTGAAGCCACTGAATTTGGAACCCCAGATTTTAGTTCTAGGTAATTTCAGGAACACCATTTCACATACTAAGAACTCGGTTCACCATTAAAAGGAGGGACATGATTAAATAATTTCTAAGGAATTTCCAGCTCTAATTCTCTAACACCTTAGCATATTAACATTAAATTAAAATAAAACCCAAAAATGTATTAAGTCCTAGAAAAAGCCCTCAAATAAAAAGGCAACTACATCTTCTCTAGATACTAAAGCAATGGTATCTTCCATTTATCAGTAAAAATATGTTTTGTCTCTACTGACTAGAATTCATTAGGATATTTTTGTGCCTGCTCTTCCGGCTACCTAATATGTGTTTATCCCAAACTCAACTGTCTAACCCTTATTTACCTCTTTTCGATCTTAGCATATATGTCTCATCTTCAGTGAAGCTGGTCCTGACCCCTAAAGAAGGTTCCACCAGCTATTTTATTGAACATACGATTTTTGGTAACTTCACAGGACTTATCACAACTTTCCATTTATGTAATTACTTGTATTCTCTTGTTCAACATCTGTCTCTCCCTCTATAATGAAACCTCCAGATGGGAAGCAATATATCTAGGTTCCTCCCTCCCCACTGTTTTATGTCCAGTCCTGGTACAATGCCTAACACACAGATAAAATTCATTTATGTATTTGTTATATGAAGAAACAAACAAACAAATGAATAAATGAGGCAGGCATCAAGAATTTAAGAGATCATATGAGAAATGTTTACCCACTTACCTCATTAAACACAGGATACATGACTGCATAAAGGGGCATAGAAACCATGGAAGTGGTCTCAGCTTCATTCTTCATCTCTTCCATTGTCATCCTCATTCAAAAGCCAACTACAGTAGAAAAAGCAGTGCTAAAATGCAGAGGAATCTTCATTCACTACAGTGTTTCTTCTCTTTTTTGTGATAAAATAGGGCACAAAATATATACTGACCTGGTTAAAAGGAAAGAAAGAACAGAAATTTACTCTATTAAGGGAAAAGTACAAACACCAATAACTTTCTTTGCCAGTGTCTCTATCTTATGAACAGCTGATGTGTTAATGTATCTTGCTTGTGAGGATACCCCTGATCAGTAACACATCTCTTTTCCTCCTCAGACTCAAGAATTTGCCCTTTCTTACAATTAATTTTCCCTCACTAGGTACTAATTCACAGAGCTGTGATTCACGATCCCACTCATCTTTAACTGAGAGTGCTCCCTGAAGCACCATGGAATAATGATGCATCTAATTCCAACATATATGCAATCAAAAAAGTTAATACAAGAAATTATCAACAAAGTAGAATTATAGCACTTGTATATAACATAAAACTGTAACTATGAAATACATAAAGCATAAATGTTTATGGAGAACTTCATTAAGAATTAGGAAAAAAGAATTAAAGGTGTTTAGAGTAAAATCTTTTTGCTAATAGTTCACTGATTTTGCCACCTAAAAATAACAAAAACATAGCCAACCACCAGAAATTTAAGACAAATCTTTAAAAAACTGGGAAAAGTCTACCAAATGTGGTCTATTTGGGGATAAAATGTTATTTAATTTTGCCAGTGGTATTTCTGAATCTTTGTCCAAATCTCACACAAAAACGAAGTAGAGGGGCACCTGGGTGGCTCAGTGGGTTAAACCCTCTGCCTTCGGCTCAGGTCATGATCCCAGGGTCCTGGGATCGAGCCCCACATCGGGTTCTCTGCTCCACAGGGAGCCTGCTTCCCCCTCTCACTGTCTGCCTGCCTATCTGCCTACTTGTGATCTCTGTCAAATAAATAAATAAAATCTTAAAAAAAAAAGTAGAACGATCCATAGACACTGATAATTTGGCATTAAAATACTGAGAATTCAACAATATGAGAGAAATTTGGCCTTGAATAGTTAGTTGAGGAAGTATTTTTTTTAAGAGAAAGCAACTGTATTTATTTCCTTTGCTAGGCTAAAAAATGAGCCTAATTAAAAAGTGAGAGAGTAATATTAGTGACATATCTGTATTTCAAACAATGTATATTGGTATACATATTTTAAAAACATCAATTTTTATTAACTTCTACCATTTTTAAAGCATTTTCAGATGATAAAACATTTTTCACATGCTTTTAGTCCTCAAAATTACATTAACTGTTATTCTAACCTTACAGAAAGGCAGGTTCTGAGATGATAAATGATTTGACCAAGAACACATATGCAGAGGCCCAAGACTTGATCCTAATACTCTCTATCCAGACCTAGTAAGTCCGCATTAAAAAAGAAGAAAAAACAACTAAGTCTGAAGTAGAGACAAAGAACCTCAGCTCATCTACCCAAGAAAATACCCAGAAGTTATTAATTCACTGAATAAATTTATGTTTAGCCCCTACTCTGTAGAAGATGCAGTGGAGGGGTGATTAAGATGTGGTCCTAATCATTAAAACTTATCTGGGCTGGACTGTGGAAGACCTGAGCAGTTTGAAAGATACAATCAAAGGTCTGAGTATGCAGAGCTTCAAAAAGCTCTAATAACCTGTCCCATTTGAGAACTGCTTACCATCCTTCCATAAACCTTAACCAGTTAAGGGGAAAAGGACACCTATGGAAACCATTTAGTCCCATTTCTGGTAGTTCTAAATATGTAAAGTTTTTTGTTTTGGGGGTCAAGCTGCTCACTAACCTCACAGAACCAAGTCAATAAATAAAAATAAGACCATTCCTAAGTTTATTCTATAGGGTATTAGAAAACTATTACCTGATCAGATCATTTATTTAAGCAGACTGCTTTGGTCATACTGTTAAGGATAGAATGGAGGAACATAAACTGAGGGCAGGGGAAACTTAAGAGACCTAGTATAGTTATACAAAAGACCCACTGGACCTAAGCAAGTAGCAAGAGGAAGAAGGTAAGTATCAACTGTGAATCTGCTGTATCTATTTAACTACTTAATTGGCTATGTGGTAATCTACTTTTCCACTTTAGAAATAAATTATGAAGATTTTTTTCACAGTAAACTTGGAACAAAAAAAAAAAAGAAGCTGAAATGCAGGGACAGCAGTCAAAATGAAATAATGGATACTGGATGCACAGTATAGACAGTAATTGAAGGCATCAGTATCAATGGAAAAAAATAAGCGAGAAATAGAACAGGGCCGACACCAGAACTTGACGAGCCATCTCATGGGGTAACAGAAAAAAAAAAAATCATTCGTTTATTTAACAAATATTTATGCATTACCTATACAGAATTAGGCCTAGGACTAGCTATGGAGCAGTGAACAATACAAGACAGTCTCTGACCTCATGGAGCTTGTAATATGAAAGGAAAGCCAGAAAATGAACAATTGTCAGCACATACAAGGGAGAAGTGCAGATGCTATACTGCTATGGGAGAATTGGGTGACAGAACCAGCATCACAGACACCAGGTGTTTCAAAGAGAAGGTCGTCCAGAGTTTTAAATGCTCCTGAGCATAGACAATAACTTTTAAAAAGTTACGGGATTTCTTGATGAGGTCATGTATAATGCTCACAGAGTAATGTCACTTATATACCAGGGGACAGAACTACCTACCTGCAGGAACTGAGACAGTGAGGTGGTGAGAGAGGTGATTTCAATAAAAATGGGGTGAATTCCTAAAGTAGGCTCAACTGGATTATTTTTGTCTTTTATTCTTTTGAACATGTATGTATCCCTGCATATATAAAGGCAGACAGAGTGAAGGGATCCTTAAAAGTAGCTAGAGTCACTCAGAATCCTGCTGGCACCTACCTATCTAACCCACGAAACCTGTTCAAATACTTAATTTTTACCTTTTGTAAATCGTGGCATTGAAATTTCTTTTAATTGAATCAATAGTACTGTCCCATGTCAGGAGGTTCACTTAAGATATTTATGATTCAGATTTAGAAAAACCAAACATATACATATATTTCTTGCCTCTAAAACTAACTTACAGTACTAGTAGCTACTATGTCATCAAAAAGAAAGTGTTAATGGGGTGCCTGGGTGGCTCAGTGGGTTAAGCATCTGCCTTGGGCTCAGGTCATGATCTTGGAATCCTGGGATCAGCCCTGCATCAGGCTTCCTACTCAGCGAGGGCTCTGCTTCTCTTTCTCTTTTTCTCTCTCTCTGCCCCTCCCCACTGCTCGTTCTCTCTCTCAAATAAAGTCTTAAAAAAAAAAAAAGTAAGTATGATAACAATACTTATTTTTTTTAAAGATTTTATTTTTTTATCTGACAGATAATAAAGATTTTATTTATTTATCTGACAGAGATCACTAGTAGGCAGAGAGGCAGGCAGAGAGAGGGGGAAGCAGGCTCCCCGCTGAGCAGAGAGCCTGACTTGGGCTTGATTCCAGGACCCCGGGGATCATGACCCGAGCCGAAGGCAGAGGCCCCAACCCACTAAGCCACCCAGCTGCCTCATATTGTAGCAATATTATGAGCTAAATAGGTGTCTGTCTTACATCACATTTATCTACCTTTTAATACTGTTTCTATGGAAAATGTTTAAAGAACCAAGTTACAACTGAACTTCCCAGAACACACATTCACAAAACTGGGGCCACTCATAGTTTCATCAATGTTTACATGAGATTAAAAAATCAACAATTTCAATAAGGCTTTTTAAATATGCCAATTTTAGTTCAAGTTGAAATATGCTGTCATTTCTTCTACATGCTTCTTTATTTGAAATGGTTCAATAGACAACCTACAATTACTCCAAGCAACAAGGAGCCTGTCAACCTGAAGAGCAAGGATCAACTGAACTGAGCAAGAGCCTGAGGCCCTACCCCTTTGAGGTTTCTTCCTTTCACCACGGGTGTCACCACAGGCCCAGGGCAGGTGGGCAGCACATTACCAGTTTCAACTCCCTAAGGGATACTGGTTTCTGAGGTAAGCGCTCATCGTTCACGCAAAGCCAACTGAACCCCTAATCCCGAATCTGGAAAGGCCTTAAAAAGTCACCTCATCTACCATGCAGTACAACAGAAACCACAGTCCAAAAAATGACTTGCCATGGTTATAACTGCTAAGTAATAATAAATAAAAATGTAATGTGGGTATAGTGGCAACAAGAGAAGAACTACTTAGTTTCCCATTTCCAATGTGTCGCATTAGGAAAAAAAAAAGTTTTCATTTCAAAGTAAACTTTGTTTCCCAAGGAGTTAGCATCACAACATTTTTAAAAAACCAAAATCACAGGTGTCAATAACTTAAGACAAAATGTATACTTTTAAGCACACTTTACTTCAAAAACACCCTCTGTATATGGTAATACCATACAAATAGAATGAGCAACCAATTCATTTATACTTTCCCCCTTATTTCCCTGAATGTTCAAAATAGCAATACTAATTTCTGACACAAAATGCTTAAGTATTAAACACTTCCTGCACTTAAGACAATTACTATTTCTTTAAAGTGAAGGGAAAACAGGGGCGCCTGGGTGGCTCAGTGGGTTAAAGCCTCTGCCTTCGGTTCAGTTCATGATCCCAGGGTCCTGGAATCGAGCCCTGCATCGGGCTCTCTGCTTGACAGGGAGCCTGCTTCCCTTCCTCTCTCTCTGCCTGCCTTTCTGCCTACTTGTGATCTCTGTCAAATAAATAAAATAAAAATCTTTAAAAAACAAACCTTTTAAAAAAATAAAATAAAGTGAAGGGAAAACAAAAATAGGTTCTTGGGCATTCTACTGTCAAAGTCTTAGTCTTAGGAGTTTCTGTCCTGACCTGCCCAAAGAACCAACAGAAGTCTGTTCATATAAAGAACTATACTCAAATATAACTTACGGATCAGAATCAGCATTTCCTGTGAGAGCTTCATTTTAATCCATCTGGGCAGGAGATAATTCTAGAACTAAAGTTATTTACTCAAATATAAGGAGGGGATAAGCAAAGTCCTTGGTACTGAAATATGCAGTTCTTGGGGAGAAAAAGAAGGCTCCTAAATAAATTCTACCCTTAAGACA